AGTAAAAAACTGAGGACCACTTTCTGGTGTTCATGTTTCACAGCTAGTTTATTATAAACTCTGTGCTGGAACTGTCTAAACTAAGTTACTATTAGATCTGAAGGAAAGGTATGATGACTTTTAGTATGTGACTTGACTGAATGTGTCTGCTCTCTCAACACATGTGAGAGGATGGGAATGTGTCCACTCATGTGGTTGGGCAGGTGCCCATAGACATGTGGGCTAAAGGTTGTCTGCTAGCGTGTGGCCAAAAGCGAGCTCATTATATAGTGGAAGATGCCAGTATTTTTGGCTTTGCAAAGAACATGCTTTTGTCATATGGTGGGGAGCAGATGATGTAAGGAATAATCTCTAGTGGCTTATCATAAGAAGGTCCCTATCTACACCTTCCCTGCCTTGTCAAAAGATCTCCTTACACCTTTACCTGCCTGCAATAAAGGGCAAGCACCGTATCTATAGAACGCCACGAAGCAGTTTCCATACCTATTACGTGAATATCTTTGTCAGCCAGCATGCTCTAACGTACCAACCTCAAGGGCTAGACCTACTTTTGGGACCTATCTTCTAGTCGCAGGCTGGGCTCTGTGCATAAGCCGCTAGGTGTGTAATACCAGCTCTCCTTCCTCCTCCTCCATCAACATGACAGCTTGAGCACAACTGATGCTTCCTACTCAAGTCATGAGAACGAAATGTGCTGTGCAGGAGAGGTCATGGGGTAACAGTCATATTGTCTTAGAGTGCATGACATGCCTGATTTTCATTGGTTAGAACAATATTAGGTTTTTGAAACATTGAAAACTCATAAAACTACACTTGGCCTAATGTGGCAATATTCTACAGGGTCTGCTTTATCAAATGTGCAGAGGTAACTGAATAGAGGAACGCTGCAAGCAGTGTTTGGGAAGGGCAACTTTTGATGCCCACCCCCACCCCCACCCCGGGCTATGTCAGCTTTGCTCTAAAAGAAAATTTATTGAAGGAAATACTCTTGGAGGGATCTGTGCATGTGTCTTGTCTCTGTTTTATGGGGTTACTTTGTGGACCACCCTGTGGACTGCTCTGTGTGTGTCTGGCAGCACTGCTCATCCAAAAGTCATGCCACATACATGTGGGCCTGCATGCTCAAAGGGCTGAATTCCGCTATTATTATTTTCCTATTACCTCTCAACAGTTCTTCAGATTAAAACCTGGATATGAACAAAATATATCTGTAATATAAATTTGGGGGTTTATGGATGTACTTAAACATTTGACATGAAAATAATCATCATCTCCTCGTGAATGTGCAGTTGTTTTTATAGTATTTTTGATTCTTCTGACTAGTCTGACTTTGAACATCTTGAGAAATTTCCATTGTTTGCATTAAAAAGAGTACCTTCTGAGGTGTCAGACCTGCCACTTTCAATAACGTGTTATACAATCGTATTACCAAATTATCTTCTCAACACCCTCAAAATCCATTGCTGGATGATACCATCATTGTCCTTCATCTGTCTAATGTTTCCGTGAATTTGTGGATCACAAGTGGATGGCGATATCCAAAACAACTGTATTTCTTAGCAGTAACCATGCTGCTTTACTTGATGCCGCAGGAAAATCCAGCGCTACATCTACTACTGTATTACTTTCTATCATAACCTGGCTCAGCACCCATCTGTGTGATCTCCAGTCTAATGACCCAGGATGCGCCCTACACGACAGCAGGCAGCCCAGGTCATAGCTAATACTCCACAAAATAGTGTCTGGCTCACTTTCCTACTAGTTTCTATAAGTTGGCATCTAACCTGGTTTATGGCTGATGATCCCCAAGGGTCATGGTTGATCTGTGCTTTTAGCAATGGTACAACATGCTCCTTCCCAACAGGTGCTGCCAAAGAGGCTTTTAACATGCCAGGCTCCTACCATGGCTATGGTTTCCCCACAGAGGGCACAGAAGCCACGTCTTAAGCTGGCTCTGTCACTGTCCCCCGCTTCTTCACCCCTAACTTCACCGGGCCCGATCCTCAGGCCCTCGCTTGCTCTAGACCACGAGATTATTCCTTTGTTGTTGTTTCCCATATTTGTAGCTATTGAATCGGAGAAACTGACTCTTCATTGTCCCCTCGATCCTTTCCACCCTGCTTGTGCTAATACTATCTGTCCTCCTTATTGTTATAAAAGATATCTTTACACTTTTGTTTTCCAATTAGGGCAGTGAGATTTAAACTTTTTACAGCGCCAATGAAACATACCTCATACTAGCAGGATGAGGAGATTAAAAAAATATATTGGAAAGTATTTTAAGGATTGGAAACAATCTCTCTGCAGATTATTTACTGCAAAGAGCTTTTAAACTTTTGCTTTTAAGTGCCTTGACTCCTATAAGCTCTTCCTCCCATCATGTCCAAGTTTAGATCTTTTTTTGTAACACTCCAGTAGTTTGATGAAAACAATTTTAAGTACAATTACATTTCTGTAATGAAGTATTCCTAAACTAACTTGTATCAGAGGACTGAAAGCTCGAAAGTCAAGCTTGGTTCAAAGTTCAGATTCTTTTTTTCTAAATAAGCTTTTCCAAACTGAAGAAACGTATGAAGATGTGCATAAATTAAACAAAGAAAGAAAAATGCATTGCTACCATTTAAAAATTATTGCAATGGTGAGAAATGCAAAAGGTAATGTAACACATGGATGAAGCACAAGTGTTTTGATTAGAGTTCTCTTTAAAATTGACGGTAGTACTAAAACTACTTAGGACAGAAGCGATATTAACCTAAAAACATCCTTCAGGTAATGCTGTCAATAGAGTACTCGTTTTTTGGGCTCTGCCGCCATCTAATGGTATGACCTACACTTCTGTAAGTCAGTATTTTTGAAGAGCCAGCCTTCCGCATCTGCAGGGCTAGTAGAGCAGTCCACCGTTAGAATGACCATAAGCTTGGGGGTGGGGGGGTGTCCTTTGTTTTTAAACTTCTTTTATAGGTTTTCTTTATGCATCTTCCCAAGCTCAGAAGGCCTCTAACGTACAGTTTGAAACAGCTCTAGAATGTTTTTGGCAAAATACGATTTTAATAATCGGGCACCTGTATTTTGCATTTGCACAAGCTTTTTTGCTATGGTTTAGGCTTAAAAGGGTAAAAACTTGACTGAGTGTAGCATCCTTCTCCAAGAGAAACTGTTAAAATGCTCTGAACAAGTGCAGAGGACAAAATGGTTGTTTCATAATAGCAAGTTGTTTTTTTTTTTTCTTTTGGCATTTTAGAAGTCTAGAAAATTAATGTTACAATGTTAAAAATCGGTTAGAATAACCAAATGTTAGAGAGAACTATTGTATTTACTACCACAGGATGGATCAAAATGCAAAATTTCTGAGCAAAGGGCTATGGACTATGTCTAAGACATCTAGCAATAACTGAGGAAAAACAGTCTTACAGCAAGTAGGCTTTGTAAGCAGGCTTAAGTAGGCTTAAATTTTCTGTACTCTGTACCTCCCTTGAAACCTAGCTATAGCTCACAAATTGAAAAGATTAAAAAAGAATACATTAAATTACTGATAGGTCTTTACAAAAGAATAAAAGTCAGAACAGATCCTTGGATGTGTTCATTTATACAACATAATCTGCCCACAGCTGTCCAAGCATCCTTGGAAGATACAAATGGGGCACGCTGAAACTCTGTGGCTACACCATGCTAGCTCTATCACCTCAAATACGCAAAATCCCTTACTCAAAGAGATTAATTTATCAGTTAGTCACAGAACTAAATTGAAAGCAACAGCAAAACAATTTTAGAGTTTTATATGTTTTCAAGTACCATGCAGTGAAGGACAAAGGCAAATACTGAAAAAATATAAGGAACTGCTTTACTGTAGTCCAGGTTTACTTAAAAACAAGCTAGCTCCAACACTGAGGTCTTCAAAAACCCCAAAACTGAACAAAACTTATACCATAAGACAGAGTGAAATATACAAATAAATTAACAACGCTACAGAGAGTAAACCTTCCACAGGTCGAAACAAATAATTATCTTAAACTTAGTGTTCTTTATAAATAAATACGTGAATATTCACTTCTTTAAAAATACTCTACATGTAACTGAATCTCCAAGTCCCACTTCACAGCCAGAGCCAATCATACACTAGAAATAAGGCAAGTAAATTTAAGTATGAAAAAAATATTTTTAAAAAGCTAACAAGTAAAATAGTTTATTTTGGGGAAACAACTCTATACAGGGGGGAATATTGTAATCGGCTCCAGAGCACAAAAACATTTTTAGTATAAAGTATGTAAAAGGGGAGATTCTGGATGTAACTCGGTGTAGGTGAACTTCCACATTTGGATGGAATGACTGCAAACTGGACAGCTCAGTGCTAACCAAACAACATTGTGCCTCTTAAAAATCTGTGCAAAGGATACTGTTTTCTTGAGCACAGGTAGCCCTTGTGGAGAAACATGAGTTAGATAGTGTCGCCCACTACAAGAATATTTTTGGTATTGACTCCTCTGTGAAGCATTAAGGTGCGCACCTTTATGGTACAAATGCCTGTGCTTAATAGATCTTGAGATAGAAAAGACTTGGTACATTAACATTACTTTCTGGAAGTCAGTAAAAAAACTACCCAGTTCAACTGGAACAGGATATCATTCCTTTTTTTTTTTTGGTTTTGCATGTACAGATCTAGAGATACTATACATATTTAACATGGGGAAGAGATGTTTGTATATTAATGAGCAAAGTAAAATCAAAGAAAGAAAAATAATAATAATAAAGAACACATTTCCTAAGCTTCTTTTGGATAAAATGAAATCCAGTGGGAACAACTAGGTGGGTTTCTTTTCTGTTGGTTGAAGGAAAGAACGTCTTCCATAATATTAAAATCTCAGGTAAACAGGGTCTGTACAGAAAACATGCCATGAAGCTGTAATTCTCCTGGATATTACTGTGGAAAGGCTCTATAGCAACCTATTTAAGTACCTCTGCAACTCCTCTCCTACTGCAATACTCCACTTCCAGCCTGCACAGAACTGCTCCCTCTTTTTGAACAAAACTCGGAATCAGAGAGCTGAAATAACCTGCCTTTCTTTAAATGACAGCTCATCTTCAGCTGCATCAAAATCAGGGGACATAAAGATGGGTTCATAGTCATAAAGTGCCACAGATACCCTTACAGAACTATCGTTATCTATCTTCTCTGCAACTGGGCTGGAAAGCCAAGATGCCAATGCTTGGCTTATGCTTTAAGTTATGCTCACTTTTCCTGCTCCAAGCCTAATGAGAAGGAAAAGCTGGAGATTCTTGTAGACTAGGATGATTATGATCCACAGTCTCTATGCTATGTAGTCCCCGGACACCTAAATCCAGGCCTTCTTCTTCTTCCAAAATAGCTGAAAGAGCATAACTATGGCTGTGATAATCAGGATAACTCAATTCCCAGTTTCCCATTCTTGATGTCTGGCCTTCCTCTTTTTCCCCTTTGCTGCAGACTTCTTCAGATGACTCTTTTGTTTGTTTCTTATCAGTAGAATCACATAGGATTTCCTGGACAGAGAAGTGACTTGTTCCAGGGTCTCTAGAATTAACTTTCTCCAGTTCAAGTTGACTAAAATATAGATGTATAGAGCTCAAGCAAGCTCCATCATCTTCTTTAATGTCTCTTTGAGCAGTTGATAACAGTTCTGTTGAATTTTCAGAACCAACATAATGGACCATCCTAGATTTGCTGATGTTGCTTGTGACTGGCAGATTTTCAAGTAAATTGCTTTTACGGACACACTGTTTTTCTGTTTTATTCCTCTGAACATCCTCAACAAAATCTTCTGACATCCTAAAACCTAATGATTCTTCATGCCATGTAGCCAGAAAGCTAGGCTGTGGTGATTGCGCAGTGACTTCTGCCTGCTGATAAGTTTGTAAGCATTCATTATCATCTTCATACTTTGCAGTGCATGACTTCAGTGGCAATGTGGTAAGCTCATGTATTGTGGCAGAGCGGTGAGAAAACTGATTTTGGGAAGCATTTGTTTGGGGCGAAGTTACAGAGTCGCAGCAGTTACCAGTGAAGTGAATGGCCAATCTGGTATCTTGATTTGCTGCACTTACCTGTGAGGAGGAAGAGGACAAAGAGGATGTGGTATGGGTTGAAATCTGAGAGTCTCGGAATGCCTCATATGGCTTTCCGGGTGTCAGTCTTACAGATGTAGACTTAGGCAGGCAGGAGCAGCCGGGAGCATTCAGCAAGGCTGGAGGGATCAGAGCTGGCACCGAATCAACAGATTCTCCATATGGAGACAAAGTTCTCACAGAAACTTTCTGAGATACTTCGAATACCTCTAAACAGGACAGATCTACCAGGGCACTCCCAGCTGTTGGAGATGCAATTTCTTTCACTCTTTGTCCATTGATGTACACAGCATAACCAGTAACTTGTACTCCATTGGAAGATCCTTCAGCATCGATTGTCACTGGTAGCCAACTGATAAGCAAAGTATTCACTGATGGTCCGGGTTCCACTTGAACATCAAGAGGTGCATGAGGTACTCCTGCAGATGGAGTAGCAAATCTAACTGTTGCTGAATTCTGCTCTGACTTCTGGGGAATATGCCATTTCATGTCCTTAGGCCATGCTTCGACTTTTGCTTCATAGGGAGTGTTGGGTTGCAAATTTTGGAAAGTATACCAGTAGACACCTGGCTTTACTACATCACAGTCTCTTTCATTAAGGTACACAGCATGCAAATAATTGCTGCTGCTTGGCATCCAAGTTACCTCTGCTGAAGTAGGAGTGATGTTCCTAAGTTTCAAACATTCTGGTGCTATATGAAAGTCTTTCCCCACGAGGATAGTACACTGCATCTTGTCTGAATTTCCTTTCTCTGTTACACTTTGAACCGAAATCCGGTAGGTCTTATTTTTTAAGTCCAGGTCTTCAATCACTGCTTGAGTCTCAGAGCTAAATCTCACATCCTGGCTACAGAAACTACGCTCAGTATCTACAGAAATGTTATAGTTCTGCACCTCCTCCCACACGTCTAGTACAAGTGGAGGCTCCCAGCCAATAATAATACTTCTTGCAAATTGCTTGATTAGAGTGAGATTTCTTGGATAAGGTATGGCTGCATGACTAAGAGGAATCTCTCTGTCTCCTAGTCTATCAGCCAACGCACTGACACAGATTCCTTCATCAAGGCCATCGTTTTTTCCTCCACTGCGAACACTTCTGCTGCAAAAACTCACTTCATTATCTGTGTTCTGCAAGAAATCACTTGGGTCTGGAGGCACAGTCATCATCAGGTCGTCATCGGAAACTTCTTCTATCAAATTGGAGGGGACCAATCCTCTTCTGCCATCCATCAGTTCTCCCTCAAAGAAACCATCCTCATCTATGTCTCCAAAGATATAAACGTATTCTCCAGCAGTTAGAGGAAGCTCTACTTCAGGGTGCTTATTAGGACCATCATAAGGATCGTAGCTATATCGAGCTAAGAATACTCTAAGTTTTGCTGGTTGTTGTCTTGGTAGAACTAAGGTACATTTGTCTGTTGCTGATTCTTCTGTCTTACTTACAGCATCCTCCTCTGAAATAAGGCAGGATCTAGGACTGTCCTGTGTAGAATCAGATTTCAAGGTACTTGTTGGGGTTGCCAGGGCTTTGGCTGGCTTCTCAAAAGTATCAGAACTATCTTCACTGCAACAAAGATCATGGGCATCCTCTGCATAGGTCTGTGCTGGGGAAAAACATGTAACGTGTGGCAGCTCTGAAATGATATGGCTGGGTTTTTTTGTTTTCAATTGTTCAAGTTCCTGAGATAACAGATTATACTGTTTAGTTTGATTCTGATACTGATTCTTTAACTCTCTCACCTGGGCTTGAAACTGTTGCGTGACTTCTTCATGTGCAATTTTTACTTCTACCTGAGCCCTCTGAAAATGCCTGACTTCCTCTTCTTTCTTCTGCAGCTCTGCCTTTATTTCCTCATGTTCTTTCTCCAGCTGTTGCCTTCTTACTGCTATTTCTCTCATGTCTTCCAGTTCATGCTCTAGATCTTCCAGTTTGGTGTGAAGATGGCTGACTGCTTGGACGGCAGAATTTCGCTCCTCTGTCACTTGCGTTAGTTTCGCCTTCAGATCAGTGTTTTCAGATCGAACCTTTTCTGTCCATTCTGTCTTCCCACTGAGTTGAGAATTTTCTTTAGCAAGTCTGGCATTTTCATTCATCATCTCTGTAAGATGCATTTCTAACTCCTCGCATCTTTTTTGCTTTTTGGAAACTTCTTGTTCCAGGTTTTTGTGCTGACTAAGCTTTTTACCAAGCTCTACTCCCAAGTGCTCTCTCTGCTGCTTGTTGACTTGGTCTGTCTTTAAAGTGATGTTTTCATACTTCTCGGACATGGTTTCTAAAAGTGATTCCATTGACTCTGTATCTTTGGCCAATGTGGCAATTTCTGTTTGTGTCTCCTTTGACATAGATGAGCCATCTAAGCTTGAATCCATGCTTGTTGTCACTGTTTTCGGTACTAGGCACACTGGAGAAGAAACAGCTTGAACACTTTTGGAGGAATTCGGAGACTCCTGTAGGTTCCTCACTGCAATCTGTCTCTGTGAGCATAACGCTTCCCTGTGAGATTTGCTTAGCAAATGACTGAAGTCGCTGAAACTGAGACAGTATGAGCCCTCTTTGTCTGCAACCAGTTTGGCCTGAAGTTCCCAAAACTTCTTCTGCAAGACTTCTATCTGCTTATCCTTCACCAGAAGAGTTTTGGCATGTTCTCTCATTTCTTTAGCCCTCTGCTGGGCAAATGATTTCATGCACAGTTCCACACTGGAGCTTTGGATGGGCAGTGGTATTGGAGTGCTGATCACCTTGAGATTGGTCTCTTGTAGTTGCCTGGATCTTTCTTCCAGTTGCTTGGTAATGACAGCTAGCTCAGCGTTCTTCTGCTTGAGCCTCTTCACCTGCTCCCGCACTTCTGGAAAGCTTCTCTTCCTCAGAAGACAGTTCTTATTTTGAAGGTCACTATACTTCTTCTCCAGGTCCTTCAGGGCACTCTGGAGGTGGGTGTTCTGCTCTACCAGCTGCCTGTACCTGCTCTCGCGCAGCCAGTCTGCCTGTTGCCCTGCTACCTGAATACCCCCCTCTCCCACAGGCCCCCGGCCGCCCAGCTTTCCTTCAGGTGGGGAATCCAGACAATGCAGCACCAAGTCTTCACCCACAACCTCTGGTAGAAGCTCCATGCTGTCCCCTTCCTCGTGGAGGTGAGCATCTTTTATACCCTTGCGGGTCACCCGCTGCCCCGTGCTAGGGATTTCGGTGTGGCTGGCCTCTAGCGCCAACTGCGCTTGATTGAGCACCTCCTCCGGTGCCGACCGATGTTTGATCTGCCTGGGCGCCCCCGCGAGGGCCCGGAGCCCTTCGCCATCAGGGGTGCAAGATGCGATGAGGTTCTCCCAGGAGCAGGGCCTGGCGGTCTT